TGTACTCCACTTAGAAAAGATAATCAATGCAGAAACACAGAAACTATCACAACCGATCAGAGCAAGAATAAGGAGTGCCTCAAAAGAAGGGGGAGGGGGGAGGGAAGGTGTTGCACAACCTACAACCCAGGTCCCGTTTTTGGTTTTAGAAACTATGAGATTGGTTTAACTTTAGGGCCAAAGTTAACATTTTAGAAGGAAAATCAGTTGCTGGCTGCAGCAGTCCTGGATCCTCTTGTCCATGTAGGTCACACCAGACACCGCAGGGAGTTTAACAAAACAGCGTGCCTGGGAAAAGGCAGCACGAGAGCTGAACTCCCCTCTGTAAGAACACCCTGAAGGGTTTCCATCCCAAAAGATGAACCTCTTCAAGCAACACACGCTGGGCAAACGTCCCAGTGAGCAACCATGGCCTGTGCATGGCCCAGCTGACTTTACCTCGCTCCTGCCACCGGGTGAGCCGCCCACGCTTTCCGTGACGAATTCACGGCGACGCAGAAGGCACGTCCTTGCTGACGCAGGCACGGGCACCTGCACTGCTGCGGCCAACGCGGCCATGCCTAGGCTCTGCCACGCTTTCACCTGCCTGCAGAGCGGCTGTGAGCAACAGTACCTGCAAACATCGTCCCTGAGCACTTCTTGAGGAGCGCTTCGGGATATTTAGGTGACGGGAGGCGATGAGAGGCGAGTTACGTTAGTTCCGGTGTTCCTACCACTCTGTGTGGACGTGCAGCCTTCTGACGGTAAGTGTGTAACGGCCTGTTCGCTTCAAGAAACGCGTCCCCGTGAGACACGTTTTCCAGCCTATTTTCATAAAATAGTACATAGAAAAAGACTCACTGGTCTTCTAGAAGCATTCCCCTTTTCAGAAGGGAAAAGGCCATGTAACACACTGCTATCCAATATGCTATCCAGATTAATACACGGGTATTGCAATACTATTTTTCTTCCCAGAACACCAAAACCGAAGGACGTTATTTCTGCGTTATCAAGGTACAGATACACTTTGTTCCTTCTCTGCACCCTCTCATTAACCTGTAGCTTTTCCTAAATGCTCCCGGTCTGAATTTGAGCAAAATTTGAGCAGGGGAAAAACACAGGTAGGGCCTCCTAAAGATTTACTTTTTGAGCATGAGAATAAGCCAAGAGAATAAGCCAAGATGGGAAAGACGTTCCTGGGATGAAGGGAACACCTTCCCCACTCTCCTTACCCACCTACCTAACTTTTGCTTCGCTACTTCCCAAACAAACCGCAGAGGAAACTGGTTGCGAAGCTGTGCTTAACCCCTCTATGACAGCAGTGCATAACAAATGGGGAAATAACCCAAGTGGAACCGTGCGAATTTGAATTTCCTGAGAAATGGGGGACTGTGTGCGCAGAGGGGGCGGGGGCAGCACGTCACACTTAGACAGTAACAACTTCACTTCTCAGCAAAGAACCCATCAAACAAGCCTCGAAGAGCTAAAGGTTAGAACAAAAGCTCGCCAGCCCCAAGTACGGTCATCGCAGCGAAGACCTTAGAGCATCGCTGGTCTGACCTCTCTTTTCTTACCCACATTCATTTTGCCTTGCTCTGAAAGTTTTGGGTTCCCTCTGTTTTAACTGGGCTCACTCAGTGATTTGGAATGAGACGTTTCATTTTGTTACGTAACTAAGCTCTTAAACGAGCAAACTATGTTTCTGGCAGTTGTCCGACTGAAACCTCCCAAGTTTACTTTCCTAAAAAGAAAAAAAAGCAGCAGCTTATTTACTTTCCTTTAGAACGTTTGCTATATGCATTTGCAAATATTTGTTTGCAGCAAAGCTGCATTTTCCAGAGAACAAACTGTTCCCTCAAATCCTTTCCTTATTTCCAAAAACATCAGTCAAGGCTTAGTGGAAGTTGCTGCGTATACGTTAAGGCAGCGCTGTTACGTCAGTCACAGAAGTCCCGCTGCCACCTTACCGCGTCGCTCCGTCAGGTCACAAAAGCACACCCCCGTGCCATGAAGGGGAGTACCACAAACGCCGAACTGCAGCCCTAAAATTCTCCATCCAAAAGGGAGAGCCCAGAAATCTTGTGGTCGAGTGGAGGGTGTCCCTGCCCATGGCAGGGGGGTTGGAACTGGATGGTCTTTAAGGTCCCTTCCAACCCAAACCATTCTGTGATTCTATGATTGCGGCAGCCGACACCATCCAAAAAGCCCCTCAAAACTGTGGCAGATTTTAAGTGAAAGCTCCAAAAGTTACACTGATGTATTGCTACATGCAATAGCAGAAACACTGCTAGATGTTCCTTTTCGTTACCAGACCAGGTAGGAACTGAAAGGGCGCTGTGATTCAGGTCAGACGCAGAAATCTGCGGGGACACCCAGCCAAGCTGCACACGAAGAATCTACATTCTTAAGTACGTCCTGCAGGTAAAGGCCCAGAGTTGGGACTTCACTCAGCTGAGCAATATCAAGGAAACATATAATTAAATATCCTTTCAGACTTGCAGACTTGAAAGAGAATACCCAGATCTCGTGTCCCCGTTTCCTCCAGCAGATTTGTTCTCCTACCCCAAAGGACTGGCTGAAACAATCCACTTCTAAAACACAGCGCTGGACTGCATCTGCACCAGGCAGCGGGCTTGGACTGCTTTCAAAGGCTGGTAAAGAGCTAGCCTTACGAGCCCTTTGCACTGCTAAAAGCATATCTCCTCCCCTCTGCCAGTGCCACGCATGGGCCTCCACTTCCACTCAACATCTGGGATGCAGAAAGCTCACAGACTGAAGCCACACATGGCTCCCCTGCTGCGTGAGGGCCCTCCCAGCAGTTACTCTTGCAGCAAAGAGCTCATTTGAAGGACAGCAGGAGACAATGCACGTTCAGGGCTCAGTGCTGGCGTTAAACACTGCTTCTCTTACATGTAGAGCTATCGAGATACACACCTCAGGTCTGAAGTTGGGCTGGTATGTAAAGCTGAACAATGGAAAGGGTTCCCAAAGTCCGCCTGAATTCAATAAAGCTATACAACAATTCCACTTGGGAATAGGCTTGCCGCTCTCTTGAATGAGCTAACAGAAATACCTTGTAATAAAAAGGGCTCTGTTCCCAGAACAGTGCATGGTGGACAATGCACAGCACTAAGCACGGCTGTTGCTGACCGCTGTCCAAACCTACCGCCGCCTGCTCAGCATCACGTCTGTGCTCGGCACCGCCCCGCCTGATGAGCGCACACCGTGCCTCCCGGGCCGATGAGAGCATTTCTGTTTGTAACACAGGTGGGCTTCAACAGCGTTTTGTGGAATACCAGGGCTGCCTGCTGCAAGACGGGAACTGAACTGAGAGGTGCAAGCCGCTCGGGAAGTACGCGAAGACGTGTGTGGAAGCTTCCCACGCGCAGCCTGCCAAACACGCTTCTCCCAGGGCTTGGCCCTCGGCGATCGAGGGCTGCCAGCAGCTTCCTACTCCGCCAAACTGCACGGTTACTCCCCTGTGAGACTACAGGCTGGGGGATTTGGACAAGACCTGCCATTTCACGTCAGAACGTCATTCTGATTTAGCAGATCTTTAATCTGAAAAGCAGGCTCTCAGCAGGTGGGAAGCTAGAGCTCCACGGAGGTCACTGTACCTACGCAACCTAGTGAAAAGAACAGCTCTCAACCTGGAGTTGTACACCCTTCCCCACCATCCCATGGCTTTTGGTGTTTGGGTTTTTGGTTGATTGGTTTTTTAAAAACCTGTTCACACACAGAGGAAAGGACTTCAATACTTGAAGAAAACTGAATTGAGTAACCTTTAAAAGTCGAAACACCGAAGGGCATGTGTCACACAGGCCGAGTTTGTGTTCTGTGATCAGGAAAGGAGGAAGAGTTTCGGAGAAGTTGGTCAGTGCTAGAGGAGTGGGCAGAGCAGCCACTTCTCTTTTACTGACAGCGGTATGGCCAGCTTATCTTGGATGCTCTTGCATGGGAGCGTACCACGACATGGGACACGGGCACAGACATGACAGCAAGAATCCAGAGGCACGTGTCCTGCATGCAGGATTACAACAGGACGTACAAAAGGCTGTATCTATCTTGTACTGGACTGCACACTGCATTCCTATCCCATCTCCGGGCCACAGAGGACCTCGTATCTCACCTTACTGCTACAAGAGGTCACTCGACTGCAATGTGTGTGCTTGGCTAGTACAACCAACGCCACCTGCACGTCACACAGAGACTACACACACAGGTAGTAAGTACTTGTCCTGCATTTCAGGAGTCACAGAGAGGATGGCCACGTGCGCTCTGGAGTGAACATCTGATGTGTCATACACAGCTCACAGGCCACATGCGTGATATGGTGTTATAGCACCTCACTGACCCACGATGTGAGACGCCATTAGGTGGGAACCTTTTTTTGTATTTCTGTAATAGAGTAAATCAAAGAACTCTGTGGCACATATATGCTACTTGGCAATTTCAATTTTCATGTCTACTCTGTGTACTTTGCTTTAAGACTGAACCTTGGCTGCAGGCCTAGTAAAAGAAGCCCCGTATGCTTAGACGGCATGACAAAATCAACGTCCCGCTGCGTACTAAGCTTCCTGAAGACCAGTCTGAAAACTGCCAACCAACGACACCTCTACAAAAGAGAGCAACTCAGAGCACAGAATACCCAAGAGCGCGTGCCCACAAGTGACCGCATGCACAGGTGCATGCAGCCTGTTCCTAACCCCAAAAATCCCGTAAGCCACGAAAACAAACTTCAGCCTTTTCCCTGAGTGGGAGTTTGTTTAGTGCAAGCACTTGCTTCAAACATCTGACTAGGAAAAGAGTTCCAAAACACTGGCTTTTTTTCTAATAAAGTCCTTACATATTGAATAGGCTTGAGGGATTTGATTGTAGCAGTCGGGCAGCCACAGGAACTGAGGTCAACGTAGAGGCCTTCTTCCAGCACACAGTGATTGTCAGCGATTTCCCCTTGGTAATACAGGAGCCAACTGCAAGAATAATGTAACAAAAAAGGATTAGCTGCTCTAGCTGCTTATAAACAGCAAAGGCTTTTTTTCAAGATTCAATATTTGCTAAGGAAATAAGGAACAAAAAAATTGTTTGTTCTTGTTAAGCTTAGAAGTACGGTGACTTGAAAGGCTATGCAACAAAGCAACCACAGCAGAAAAGTCAGATCATGTGGTACAGAAATCTCAGTTCCAGAGTCAAACGACGCGTGTGGAATGCAGACACTTCTACTGTACCAAGTTCTCAAAATCTGGAATAAATTCTGACTGGAGTTAAAAAAAGAATTGCAGTAACTGTGCAAAATTCCCACAGGGAAGCCAAAATGCGTACTACCCAAACCAATGACAGGGTGACAGTTACTGAGATGCACTGCGAGACAAAGGGTCTAAGACATGATGGAACACGATGGGCATGTGATACACACTCGCAGCTGTCTGAAATTTAGTAGAGTTTAAAAAAATTCTTGTGTTAGTTAAAATGGTGGCATGTAAAACAACAGACTTACCATCCCCGGAGAACCTTAAAAGAACATGGTATGAATGATGTAAAATCAGAAACTTCTGCTGTGAAATCTATACATGCTCCTTGGAAATGTGTATTACTGAAAGCTTTGAGCTACAAGAACAAAACAAAACAAAACAAAACCAATGACCAGAAGGAAAACGAAAGCATTATCATTAATGTAAACAGAGATAGAGGCGTGGTCTTATAGAAGTACCCATTCAGTTCACGAAGATACTATACACAGAATGAATTCTCATTTAAGGAATCTTTTACAGCTGCTTTGTTTTTAGAAAGATCAAGTGTTTTATTGTCTCTGGGCCCGGTACTGGATGCTTCCCAGTGATGCTAAGGCAGTGGTATCAAGTGTAAGTTCAACTGCTGCAGGAAAGGGCCCAGAGAAAAGGAGAAGGCTAGGACTGAGGATGTTATCTTCCACCCAAAGCACCCCTGAACTGCAGCTAACTCTTGCCACAGCTCTACTGCCAACAAAGGGCCTTGAAATCTTCTGTGACCACAGTGGTTGCAGGTAGTTTCCCATTTAAGAACTAGCAGGAGAATTTCTGGGGGAATGGGGTATAGCCCAGAAGATGCACCATGAACTTCTGAAGTTTAGCTAAGCTGTTTTCACACGTCATGGTGAAGAACACGCCACATTGAACCATACCCCACCAGGAGGATGTGATCAATTCGCCCTGAAAAAAGCAGGTTGAAAGTGTTACAATAAAAGAAAAAAAGTAAAAAGAAAAAAAAGGAGGGGGAAAAAGTAGTACGATACAGCCTACGATCTATAGCAAAGTTGCCTAGAGTTCTGTACCCCTGGGCTGCCACTGTGTAACTGAGGTGAATTTTGCTTTAAAGCCTGAAAGAAAGGCTGGAAAAGAATGAAAAATTTAACTGTACCAAGAGAACAGCTCATATTCTGTATGGGAAGAAAAACACGATGGCTGTTTCAAAAGCTACTTCCCCCTTCATGCCTCAAATTGGCCTAGCTTCCTGCCAAAGAAAAGAAATCAAACACTTCTGCCAGCACAGAGCGAGAAGCCTGAAGACAAGCACCAGCAAATGACTTTATGGAAAAGCTCAGTCTATGTTGTTCAAAGAAATTAATGTTTCCTGCTAGAAAGAACGTGAAAGGCTTAACCTGGCCTTGCATACTGCAACTGCAGATCAGAGAACACCAGTCAGCTACAGTATAATGAATGAAGTGTAACTGATTTTTCTGTAAATATAATTGCACTTCTATGCCACAAAGCCTCTATTTAAGCTCTAATTATACACTATTTTCTACCCACTTATCTCAAAGCTCTTTATGAAGGAACAGATACACACGCTGTCTTTCTTTCATAGGCCAGATGCTGTGCAAGGCTTTTAAGAGAGATCCGTAACTCATTGTTATACCGAATATAACGGATAATGAATTGACAAAAGCTGAGGTGAAGTACCGGCTCCTCAGCGAAAACACCGCCTCTTTGCAATTAGTCTCAAACTGCAGCTTCCTCTATTTGGTCAGAGTTTGACATTACTCTACGAGGTTTCGCTTCCTAAAAAGTCAACGGACACGTTAAAATACAAACACAAGCTACCTCAGCAATTCTGTCTGCTTCCTAAATCATCTATACAAGTCAGCTGCTATGGAAAGAGACTCTGTTCTTGCTGGGCAAAACCAAAATTTTATTTTTAATCAATAAAATGAATGGCTTTTTAGAGTTGGTTATGTCAGTCATTCTCATGTTATGTGTACTTTGTTTATTAGGGAGCCTGGCAAGAGGAAAAGGTCAGGGGAGTTACTGAGAGATTTAAGAAAATTTAGTTGCTTTCCAATTTCTGACAAGCACCTAAAAACAGAAGTAAAAAAGACACACTTGTAGACAGTGAAAACAGCTCCTTTAATAAACATATGTCTGAGCTGGGAGTGGGAGAATGTATAATCATTCAAAATAACTGCTGTACGGCTTATACAAGGGTCAAACATTAGGATGCTTAAGGATTTGCCAGCTCCTATGCACCATGCTTTTTAAGTGCCAAACTAAGAGACTGTTGCACACATGGAAACTCTTATTTAATTTTGGGAATTTTTTCGTAATTAACCAAAAGACTGTTCTTTACTTATCCTAAGTGATTAAATGTTTTCCTGTAAAAACTTACTCAAGGTATTTCCCCTCCTGAAAGAACTGCAGCCATACGAATGATGTTCTTCCTTCCCCAGCTTTAGTGCAGAATCATATGAAGACCAAGACTGTGATAAGTCAGGATAGTATTTTTTAAAAACGGTGTTAAGAATTCTTTCAGAGAACCTGTGCTCTTCAAAAGGCAAAACACAATGTAGTACATGTCAGTATTTAAAGGTGACTGTGCACATACACACAGATTTTTTCACGTATCACTAGAAATAAAGACCGTAAAGCACAATTTATTGAAACTTCAAAGGTTTGAAAAGATCTTCAACGTCTGCAAAACTAATTGGTTCCCTCCGGTTTCCTCCGAGTTATGTTATCTGGTATCCTTTACCAAGGCCTTACTGTGAGCGCACTTGCAAGTCTTCGGATTTGGCCGCAAACTGGCGTATGAATAGGTCTGGCAGGAAATCAGTGTTTAAGACTAAAATAATACACCAATTATGTCTTCAGACAGGAAACATTTCCTGTAGTCCTGGGTTAATCATAAAACTGCAGAACTAGAATACTTGGAGAAAAAGAAGGGTGTGGTCAACCTGCAACGCTGACCTACCACACGATGTATTTCCCATGCGCTGACGGCCGTTATACCCATCCAGGCAAGAACGAGCAAAATTGTGTCCAGATGACAAAATACTTCTTTTCTGAAACAGAACCACTGAGCTCTAAAGTCCCTTTTGTCTGAAAAAATGTCATGCTTCTTGAAATAAAGTTTTCCAATTTGCCTAATTAAAAACATGCCAGAGAGAGAGCAATATAACCGCTCAGATGATCACCCAGCAGCACGCTCCAGGACAGAAAAGAGGAATCAAACAACTAATGCAGGAAGGGAGGAGAGCCTGGGTGGGACAGAACGTCGTGGGAGACATGGACCATCCTTGATGATGAGCACCAACACTTACAGAAGGGGTTTTGTTTTGAAAGATGTCACAAAGGTACATAAACGGATCATAACCTTGTAAGATAACGACCAAAAGTGCCAAGCCCTAAACTAACTTGTCCTTGAGGCTAGAAAGTGAATTATAGGGACCACTTTCTCTTTCTAAGCTGTCTCCAGGACAGACACAACTTTCAGGGAAATGGTTAGAATGTATCACAGGAGAGATTTATCACAGACTTGTTATAATCAGGACGTGTCCAGTTAAGGTCCTACATTACTGTGAGGAAAAGGGAAGCAGAGAGCAAGTGGTGCCTGCCGCTAGGTGAGCGGCTGCACATGTGTGCGAGACTATAAAAAGCAGAGATACCAGCATCCAAGACCAAACTTCTCCTGTTGATGCATCTGCAGGTTTGAGGAATGCAGTTCAATTTTCTGCAGTTTATACTTTCTTCTTCACCTCATACGTGAACAAGATAGTGACAAACCAAATAACGCATGCAAAATAATGGAAAGAATATGTGCCACGAAAAGGATAAATGCATGTGACAGCGAGTTTCCTGAAACAAGGAGGAAGGAAGAGGAAAAGAAATAGCTATAGAGACCCCAAGTCACTCAAAACCTACAGAACTGCTTGCATTTTTCAGGATAGAATACTAGAAAGCATGACGTGGAATAAAGCCCAGAGTAGAACGTTAGCAAACGTAACCTTTATACATCTATTTGCTTCCTCCGTCAACGCTCTCCTACATGGAGATGGTAATACTGAGATAGCATCTGAAGTAACAAAGCATCGCATTCAGCATTACCTCTAACTATTTAATGTAGTTTAGTACTAGAGGCTGTTATATGTCAACATACCAAATGTGGAGGCTCATTCGTTCCCAATGGTTCCTGCAACAGTAAATATATATACATGCAGATAAATAAATAAAATTAATTACAATTAATTTGCCAGAAGACATGTCAAGTTCTTCAGATTTCTTAATTATGAACTCAAGAGCAGAGA